TGGCCTCGTGGAATGAATGTCGTTTGGGTCTCGCGTCCTCCTCTTGAGAATGACGTTTGAAATGTGAGAAATCTATAGTGACATAATGCAATATTGGTATAACTAATATACATGTGTACATCAGTACATGAATTAATTTTGTGTACATGAATCAATTAAATGCAAATTAGTAAGAGCCAAGCTCATTTCTCACAGAGACCACCGATTGTCTTTTCTTATTTTTTTGGGTAGATTAGCTAGAATAACCTACTTTTTGTTTAAAATAGTTAGAATAACCTTATTATTTTTTTATTGCTGAAATAATCTATTCTAGATTTTTTTTCTTTCATAATACCAAAATTATCTTTCGCAGACTCTACCGAAACATTGGCAGAATCTACCGATGTATTGGCAGACTCTGCCGAACATTGGCGGGTTCTGCCGAAACATTGGCAGACTCTGCCGAAACATTGACAGACTCCGCCGAAATATTGGCAGACTATGCCGAGGTATTGACAGACTCTACCGAATCATTGGCAGATTCTGCGAAAACATTGGTAGACTCTACCTATGCCTGCCAATATCTAGAAATACGCAGACTATGCCAAAACATTGGCAGAGTCTACCAATGTTCGGCAGAGTCTGCCAATACCTCGGCAGAGTCTGCCAAAGACAATTTTGGTATTAGGAAAAAAATCTAGAATAGGTTATTTCAGCAATAAAAAAAATGGTAAGGTTATTCTAGCTATTTTAAAAAAAAAAGGTTATTCTAGGTAAATTTTTCTTTTTTTTTTGTCAAACAAGTTTACTTCATTCATTTAACCGATCAAAATACAAAAGGAGAGAATTAAATATCCTCCAGAATTACTACAGCATAATTGAGAAAGAATAAAGCATAAAGCAGATATATCATCGCAAAGGATGGACAACGAATCCAAAGCATGCTTCAGATGCGTCAAGAGGGTCTTCGCGGCAAAGCCAGAGGGTCTTCGCGGCAAAGCCGGAGAGTCTCAGTCATTTTACCATGTGACTTTGAAATTTTCGGCATAAAGCACGGGATTCGACCTCTCTCCATGAGAGGGAAGAAGATACGACCATGCTCAAAGAGATGGAAGAAGGTGGAATTGAACTCTTCCACCAGGAGTAAATCCAGAAAACTTTGATCTTCTCTCAATAAATAAAGAAGATATCGAGCTCACAAATTATAGGATTTTAGAATCCATAAAACTCTGACCCTCTCACAATATAGAAGGTATATGATTCATAAGATCTTTCCCTACAAGGGAAGGAAAGTGATAACATGTTTCTTCTGGAAAAACCAGAAGATTCGGATGAAGGGCAATGGGCTTCTTGTACATAATTCTTCATAGCCCAAAGCAAGCCCATGAAGAGGCCCATCAAACCAACAGAAGTGTTGAACGACGCGCAAGCCGATGGTTCACCGGAGGCACCAGCCATCGTCGGGGAAACTCACCGTTTGCCTGCACACAGCAGTAGAGACTCGCCTTATAGCGAGAGACATGAATAGATTCACTACAAACGGGATATTATCAAAACCTTTATCTATCTCAGATCTAGAATCTTGGCTACAAGCAAGAGATGATGGGCACACGAAGGACTAGTGGAACCTGGTCGAACGGTGCTTGTGATTAGTCTCCCGAGAGAGATCGAAGAGGCACTGAAAACCTTCGGAGTACCTCTAAGAACAAAGCCTGCACTCGGCAGTAAGGAATCGCGTGGAAGCGAAGATTTGGAGCATCAACCCCGTTTCACCGACCTCAACGAGAGCAGCAACAGTGAGAGATGGATGGAGAAGAAGAGCTTCCGATTTCATTGTGCAGTGAGGAAGAGCTCCATACAGCAATAACACGGAAGTATCGATGGCCGACGGTGAGGGCAAGGCGAGATGCGGTAAGGGAACGGCGACAATCAGAGAGTGAGTGCAAAGAGGATCCAAACGAGAAGACATATGGGCCGGTATCGAGATCGAGAGACTGAAATGAGAGAAAGCTAAGATTGAAGAGGATTTACCGGAGCTTTTCTCACGGCCTAGGGCCGGAGAGGCTCGGCCGACAACCAAGTAGAGGTAGTGGTGGTGGAGAGAGAGGCTGCGTTTTATCGGAATCAGTGTTCTAAAACGCGGCCTAGGCGGGTGCCTAGGCGGCGTCCAGGCGCTACGCGGATGTCGGGCACCCCGATTTTAGGCTATTCGGTGATTTATGCGTTTATTGAAAATACGGATGTTTATGCGGTTTAGGCGGGCGTTTATGCGGTCTAGGCGGACGATTACGCGATCTAGGTGGATATTAGGCGGCTATATGAAAACTAAACAAAAAAGCACGTTTTTAATTATATTGTAAAATAAAATTGTTTATCATAATCAATATTTATTTTTAACCTCTAAAGATCCAATTTATTAGTTAAATTCATTTTGAAATTAAGTTTAGAAACTACATATATCTTTTATATTTTTGTATATTGTAGAAGATTTTTAATTTTTTTTAAGATTATATGTATATTTAACATTACATGTTCTATTCTATAAGAATTTATTACATTTAATATTTGAGGTTTCTAATTTCTAAATATATATAAATATAAAATATGTTCATGTTTTATTCATTGTATATATATATATATCCATCTTTATACGTATATATATATACATATTTTTTTTTCTAGAAAACTAATTATCCGCCTATACTCTCGCGTATACGTTTAGGCGCTAGGCCCCCCTCTGCCGCCTAGTAAGCGCCTAGCGCATTTTAGAACACTGATCGGAATGAAGGAGATTGGAGGTGGAGGAAAGTTGATGTGCGGTGCCTAGGGAGATGGGCCTAGGAGAATTAGGTTTTTTGGGCCATACTATTCCATTGCTAAAATTTCATTTTTACTGCAAGTTGACCACTGATTGTCTAAGAGCATGTACATTGCGGAGTTCTCAATGAGATTTTCAAAAAC